CTGGCAGACACCCCTTCCCCCAGCCAGGGGGAGTGTTCTGGCGCTTGGCCCGGAGGCCTCAGAGCCCTGGTGGGTGGGAGGCCGGCGGAGCAGGCATCGGGTCCCCCCCACACCGGGGATGCTGGTGGTCTCGGGGGTGCGGGGAGCCGAGGCAGAGCCTCCACCCAGCCCCTGAACCCGGGGCCTGTCGCCTCCCCAAACCCTTTCTCCCCAAAGAGCAGTCGTGGTGAAACTCTCGGGCCCCCGGGCTGGACTCTTCCTTGCAAAGGAACCTTGGGGTGCTCTAAGGAGAACTTGGGTAGGTGTGGGGGTCAGGCTGTTTTGGAGCAGAACCTAGTCCGCTCATCTCCCTCTTGGTGGTCCCGTTTGGTTGGGCACAGCCTGCGAGAAGGCAGTGGCTGCTTTTTCCTGCGGCTGCTTTTGTTCTGAAGCTGGATTGTGGAGGTCTGTGTGGGTGGTGAAGAGCCCACAGGCCCCCCTGGCCCCTGGAAGCGCCTTCTGAAAGCTTGGCTCCAGCATGGCCGGCCTCGGAGTCAGGTCCACTTTTCAAGAATGGGCGGCCAGTTTGGGGTCTTTGTGTCCTCTCCTGGGGCTGCAGGGAGCCAGGGACAACTCCTCTTGATTTCCTGCTGCTTTGCCCTCCCAGGCCTGTGCAGGGCTGATTTTGCACCGGTCTCAGTGGGAGGAGGGAGTTAGGAGATTTTGAAAAATCGCAGATCTGTCAGAGCATTATTCCACTTGGTGCATGCCTGTGCTGTGGCCCGACGGGCACCCAGCTCTGTTCTCCGTTCCCCGCCTCCAAGTGTGAGAGATGATGTGTCTGCAGCCCTGTGCTGTGGGTTGCTTCCTGCAAGTTTCCCCTTGCCCCCCCCCCCCTACTAGTGTTAGAGGGAGCCAGGCTCAGAACTAGGTCCATGTGGAGGAGGGTGGTCAGGAAGTGACACCCCCAGGGGAAGGTCCTGCAGACCTCCTTGGGCGTATGTGCTCGGAGAGGGGTGAGGGGATGGGGAGGAAGGAAATCTTGTGGTGAGGCAGCCATCCTCAACTACAAACTCCAGATCTGATACAGCTGCTGAACTTAGAAACGGCAGCCGCCTTCCCACATGCCCCCATGGGTCCTGTCAGCCATTGGGTGAAAATGTTAGTGATTTGAGAGACAGGATTTCAGAGTGGAGAAAGGACCGACATTGCTGAGGGTTGAGAGAGTTCTGGGAGCATCACCTAGGTGTCAGACTCTAGGCACAGCCCCTTCCTTGCTTCTGTGGTGCTCCCTGTGAATTTGTGGCACTGGCTGGAGGTTCCCAGATAGAGATCTCCTGGGTAACAGGCTGCATTTTAACCATTCATGTGACCAGCAGGCAATAAAGGCAGCACTAATTGAAGGCTTTGAAGCCCACGGTTTAGTTGTGTGTGGACACCCCCCTCCCCTTACTTATCTTCTCTGAGCCTTCATTTTCATCATCTTTAAAATGGGAGTAATAATATATCCAATATATATACTATATGGTTGCTATGAAGATTAAATGAGAAAATTTATGTGAAACATTTAGCACAGTGTCTGACACATGAACGTTTAATAAATGTGAACTGTTATTAATAACAATAGATTATGACTGTCCACCTAGGCCCTGAACTGTGAATGTTGTAGAGGTGGAATGTGGCTATAGGAGAGGGTGAGGGTGCAGGAAGAGAGGAGGATGGGGACCAGACCGAGTTAACATTTCACTTAGATCACTACCCAACCTCTGGCCGGGTTGGAGTGTCATTCTGTGCACCAAAAGGTGGTGGGTTCAATTCCTGGTCAGGGCATATACCCAGTCGGGCGCATATGGGAGGCAACAAATTGATGTTTCTCTCTCACACTAATGTTTCTCTCTCCCTTTTTTCTCTCTCTAAACTCAATTTTAAAAAAACAAAACATATCCTCTGGTGAGAATTAAAAAAAATTTTTTTTTAGGTCACTACCTGGAAAAGGGGAAGAAATGTTTTTCTGTTGTTGTTGTTGTTTTTTGGTGTTTTTTTTTTTGCTCCAACCCACTTAACTCACCCACCCTCCTACCGTGTAGAACAGTGCGTAGAATAAGTATATGGAGATTTGCACATCTGATGCCTGACTTCTTGTTTGTAAGTTGGGTCCTGAGCAGAAGGAAGTGGTGTGTAAAGGCAAGAGCCTAGTCCATGGTGTCTCAGGTCTTTGAGGGATGGAGGCAGGAATGCTGAGGACCTGATAACCCTAGCCCCTGAGGGTGGGTCAGCCAGATCTCATTAAGTAGCTGGGATTTGAGAGGCCTGGAGCAAAGGTAAAAGACAGAGAAGGGGCCCTGGCCATTTGATTTTGGAGACCAGGACTGAATGAGTCTGGGTAAAAAGACTAGTAGACACTTGTGTGGAGTTCAGATCTTGTAAATGGAGCCCCCTACTGAAGCTGGCCCACTTCTGCCCATTCATGGGTGCACCTCATTGATGGGTTCTGATCCCTGCAGCCCCGCTCTGTGGACTCTGGGGAAGGTTGGGCTGCCAGCTGGGTCCCCTGCCACCTGGCCTCTTGCCCGTGCCTCAGGTGTCTGGCCTTTTCCTGCTGGCCTTGCCAGGATACCATGCAGTGCCTGTAGCTGGGCCAGAGAGAGAGAGAGACACACACATTTGTTACCCTCGGGTGTCCTTGGCCCTAAAGGAACAATGCTGTGGTTCAGGGAAGTGCACAGCACTCTCGTAGACCTCCTTCTGGCCTAGCAATGCCCTCTCACTTCACCACTTGTGAAGTAGGGCTGGTTTTTAGGGTGGTAGTTTGTCCCTAAAGAGGGGTGGAGAAGTGCTTTGGTGCCAGTTGTCATGGTGGTATGACAGGAACCAGGGTGATGTTTATACTTTTTTTTTTCCAGATACTGACATAAGTGAATACAAAGCAGTTACAGACTTCCTGCTGAGTGCTACAGACACTTTTCATCATGTTTTCTTGGCTAATCCTCACAAGGGCTCTAGGGGATAGTTTGGAGTACCATTCCATTTTACAGATAAGGAAATAGAAATGCAGGGATTGAATTTTGCTGTGGGTGATAGTGCTGGTGTGGGACAGCCTCAGTGTACCCAACTCTCCAGGCAGTGGCTGGCTAGCCAATCCCAAGAGGACTCTAAGCCTTAGGTTTATGCTGCAAATGGGCCTCAGGCCCATGTCATTGTGATCTGTGTTTCTCCTCTAAGGAGAAACCTTTTGTGCTCAGACCTTAGGTGACAGACAGCCTCAGCCTCTCTAGGCTCTGGCTGCATACTTTTCTTCTGGTGTCTTCTGGATGAGATGGTTCAATGAAGGGAGGTTATGGGCAAGTGACCCAGGTGGAGGCTCCCTGAGAGCTCTGCATGCCGGTCAAGCACATCTGTGGGGATTTTGGAGCCCTAGGCTTTTGTCTTTGATTTTTCTGGAGCTAATCTTCTAGATCAGAGGTTCTCAACCTTGGCTGCACATTAGAATCACCTGGGAATCTTTTTAAAATCCTGATTTCTGGGCCTCATCCAGAAATTCCCGGAAATTCTGTTTCTTTGTTACTAATGTTGTGGCCCC